GGATCTGTCCTCTTACCAAAATCAGATGAGAGATCACCCCTCAGGCCATGCACCTCTCTAAGTATCTTGGAAAGGTGAAACCTGGGTCTCCGAATAGAGGAAACGGTCTTTCCTCCGTTCTCAAAGTCCGAATGAATGACATCAAACGTCCCAAAATTGGGAATTCGGACACCCTGGAAACAAAAGAGGAGTCAAAGGAGCCCTAGAAAGACTTCAGCAGAGGGAAAGGTTAACTCCTGAGTCACCCGAGCACAGAGAGAGGCCTTTGTGCCAGGGACGCTCCTGGTGCACACAGGCAAGGATGGGCACTTTGGAAAGCTCCTGAGAAGATCCAGAGACTCCAGACCTCTTTTCTTCTCCTTACTCTTCTCCCTCAAAGGAAGATGTGATGATGGAAAAGCGAAGCAAGCCTCCTCGGTGGCTCAGAAACAATGGACCGCCGGCAAGGGGACACTGCCATGGACATCGTTGAGCTTCCTGTGTGTGGCCTTGGCTCTCCAGCCGTGGGCCCTAGGGAAGCACCAGGAAGTGGCCACCGCTTTCCTCCATGGGGCTGGGCTTGAGAGTTYAGCTCTTTGGAGAGAGGAGCCGCAGCCTCCTTGCAGGGCAGGATTTCTGCTTTTGGAGGAGGGAAAGAGCAGTCGCAGCGCCTTGCCCAGGGGTGCCAGAGGCCCTGAAAGCCTCAGGGAGGAATGGGAGGAAGAGCACAGCAGACCTACCTTGTTCCTCAGCAGCTGCTGCACGACAAACTCGCACACACATTCCCAGATGGTGAGCACGTCTGGAAACAAGGGAAAGAGACATGGTGCTCTGAGTCAACAAGCTCCCAATCCTTCTGCCCTTTGCAAAGCAAGGGGACAACAAGTGCAGATGCAATCTCCCCTTGCTGTCCTCCTGTCCCAAAGCCAATGTGCAGGAAAGGCTCTTGCAAATTTAGGCTTTCCCTGCASACTGTGGCCTTTCCTTTGTCCCCAGGAGAGATGAGAGCTCAAATGGATGTCTCAGACATGCAGGGCCCGAGGACACCCTGCCGCCTGCCCCGCACAGCGGGAAGTGCCTCCGAGCTCCAGTGCTGCCCCCCTGGAAGCCAAGCAGAGCCACGGAGGAGTGAAAAGGCTCCTGCCTAGCAAAGCCTTGCGCGCAGTCTGTGCAGAGCCCAGCCAGGGCTGCACGGCACCTCCGCCTTCTGCAACACTCCCCGGGGAACCCTGGCAAGGGGTCTCCACCCTCGTGAGGGGATGAGGCTGCGCCCACGGGAGTCTCGGGGCATCCCCCAGYGCCTTTCCTGCGGGGCCGGGATCCCCCGCGTTGGGTCCTTGCACAGAGACTCTGCGTGTGCATCTGAGCAGCCCCAACTCCTGCACTCAGCCCCAAGCTCGGTGTGGGCCATCCCCATGAGCGGCCTAGCAGCAGCCTTCAAGCACAGACCCTTCTGCCTGGTGCTGCTCCAGGAAGGCAGCGCCCCGGCCAGGAAGAGGAGCCTGAGCCCTGCAGCCCTGCATGTCCCGTTGGCCCCTCGGCCCCACGGGACAGTCCTGCCTCCCCGTGCAAGCTGCAGTCTCTTCACATGTCCATCAGAGCAGGCTTGCCCGCTTTGCAGGGCTTCACTCTGAGTTCCCTCTGCACGGGACAACCGTCGAGAAAGAGCTCCTGAAGGCCTTACCCTTTGAGCTGTGTGTGCGACATGTGGGCATCTGCTGACTGCTGTGGCCAAGCCCCCAGGAGTCCATGTCGACCTCCCCCTTGCTGAGGCTCAGCCCGGGCAGGGGGAAGGAGAGCACGGATGTTCCTCTGCGGTCTCCTGCTCTGCGCTTGAGCACACAGCTTCGAGCACAACGCCACCAGCACCCCTCGCCTTCTCCTCAGCGGGACAAAGCAGCTCTGCACGAGCACAGCGGAGGTGAGAGCACCTGCACTCACCGCAGCCTCGCCAGGGTGTGCGGGGAGAGGCCGGGCGCAGCAGGGCATGTGTCACCCTGGRGCTGATGTGTCACAGAGGGGCTGCAGTGACCCCGGCGCTGGGCGGCCTTTTAGGGAGCTGACCCCGAGGGGAGTCTTAGTCTGTCCTGTGCCAGGTTATGGGAGACAGCAGTCAGTCTTTTGCTGAGAAATGCATGAGGTTTCTTAGAGCTCCTGATGGAGAGTTACTCATTACATCTGAAGGAGCCCGTGTGMAACAGTTCAGGTGGAAAATTGGATTTGTTTGTGTGTGTTTGTGATTTTTTTTTGTTCCTCTGGATCTTGTAGCTTTCAAAGCTTCATAGATCCCAAGGTCATGGCAAGCACTTCCACRTACCAGTCCTTGGAAAGAAAGGAATTGGCATTTTGTCTTGTGAACAGAGCTGTGTAGTATCCAAAACATTGCCTTCAGACAGGTACACCAGTCCTCTGAGCTTTAGTTCAAAAACCTTCTCCGACGGTGATTTGCAGCTGGCAGGTCTTCATTCTTGTCAGGGGAWGATAACTGCTTGTGATCCAGCAGGATTTTTCACCAGTGAGGCATCATATGGAGAGAAACCTTCTGGAAGGTCTTCCCCCTTYCCTTCCCATGTGCTCCCGTGGTGAGGATTCCTGCTTTTCACCCAGGTAGCCTGGACTCTACTCCTGCTGTGGGAAGTTCTGTTGTCTTCATTACCTCTTGGTTTTTGGTTCTCCTTGCCTGCCCTTTTATTCTAGCTCCTCTCTTTTCCCACTGGCAAGTCAAAGGCTGCCACCTAAGACCTAAATCCAACTGCCCTGCAGGAACAATAAACAACTTGAGGGAGCTTCCCTCTAAATCCCACAAACACTGCCCTCTATTCCTTTTCCCAGAAAACCACCCGCTGCTCAACTCTAAGCACGCTTTGGGAAAGGCTGCAAGTGAGAAGGCAGCAAACCACCCATCCTTCTTCTGCAAATCCTCTCCTTTGGCTCTGAGAAGCCACCAGAGCAGCCACCAGCAAGGGTGGCATCTAAATCCCCTTTCAGGGAGGACTGCACAAAAGCAGCACCTCCCTTGCTCACACCACTRTGTTAACTCAAGCTCTGAGCAGCCTGGTGGTGACCGCTCCTGATACCAGGACCCTTCATAGTAGGACCTTTCCCCAGATAATCCTGTTCCTGGAAACAAGTTCTTTCCCACTCATTTTTCAGGAGGTCAGAACTAGGTCTGTGTCTTAGGGTCAGTGTCAGAGGGTGGGCAAATGACAACTCCATAAACCTATTTTCCTTGACCCAYGAAGGAGATTTACACTGCCCTTCTACTCACAGTCAGACACAGCAGGTTCTTCCTCCAAACAGCACCGAAACCTTGAAACCTGTACTTGAAACCCTTCCCAGTAACGAACATGCACACCAAAGGCCCGCAGAAGGAAAACCCAGGGGAAATGCTGCCTTCAGATCTGTCCTCATTGTGTCAACACATCACTGTAAAGACAACTTTGCAGATAGCCTTTCTTTCTCGTATGACCAAGGAGAAGGCCTGAGTGGCTGGGTACCTGAATTCTGCTCCTGCCCAGAAAACTGATGGCAATACATGTATTAACATGTGTGAGGTTCCTTGTTCTGCTCCTCCATGACTTCATGCTCTTCTAAGAGAATGAGATATAAACCACAGAGAGTAGAGAAAGTCTGGCCTTGTTCCAGAGCACTTTTAAGTACAAACACAAAGCAGTCCCTCCCCACCACATTCCTGGGAGACAGTTTTCTCTGAGTATTTTTGAACTGTTGGTCTTTACATTACTCTTCACATCAGGWTAGGGCAGACCATCTCCCACCAATTGCCATCCTTCCACCAGATGTCTGAAAGCCCCACTGTGTCAGGACTGTCATCTCGTAGCAGGTATTTCAGTTCTCTCATCTGACTCTCAGGCTTCCTGCACCACTGGAGGAGCACTTGAACARCCTGTCCCTACATGTACAAGTCTACTTATCTATTGCATCTACTTATTGCAGTTGTGCTGTTTATTTTACCCAGGCATTTTCAGATGCACATGGAACTTTGGGGCTCAGTGTGAAGGGCAGGGGTGGCCCCAAGCTGACCCCCAAGGCCTCTGCAAGGCACCACACCATCCCTTTACACTGAGAGAACCTCACACCCCACAGACAGGGAATTCAGGCCTCTCGCACACTGTGCCATGAGCAACCAGCATTTCAGAGGACAGCTCCATCTGTGCCAGGAGTTTCAGCTGGGGCAGGCTGCAGACACCGGTTTTGGATCAAGATATCCTACACTGAGGTGGCTTCAGCTAGTGCCTTGCCACCCTTATTAGGATTAGCAAGAGGTGAGAGAACGCAGCAGCACGGGGAAGGAGGACTGCTGAGTTGAGCACCATGGGTGCCAGTGGCAGGTCCCAAGAAACTGTGAGATTGTCGCAGACTGGCAAACAGACAGGGACGTGGATGTGGGCATTGCACGAGTGTCAGGGACACAGCTCACATGTGGGTGTCAGGGACAAGGACACAGTCCATGCATGGGTGCCGGGGATGTGGACCTTACAAGACTGTCACAGACAGGCACATGGACAGGGACACGGACGTTCACTTTGCATGGTTGTCAGTAAGAGGCGCACAGACCATGCACATGTGTCCGGGATGTGGACATGGACCACACACGTGTGCGAGAGACAGGGACGGGGACGGGGACCTCACTGGGTGCCAGTGATGGGCGCACGGGGCGCACAAAGGTGTGAGAGGGACAGAGACCTCACTGGGTGTCGGTGAGGGGCACAAGGAGTGCACGGGTGTCAGCAAGAGGACGGGAACCTCACTGGGTGTCAGTGACGGGCACAAGGAGCACACACGGGTGTCAGTGATGGGTACAGGGCACACCCGGGTGTCAGTGGGGGGGACACAGGGGACACACACAGGTGTCATTGAGGGGCACAGGCACACACGGGTGTCAGTGGGGGGCACACACGGGTGTCAGTGAGGGGGACGGGGACCTCACTGGGTGTCAGTGGGAGGG